AATGAGATGGGATGTAGTTGATGGAGGGAAGCAGAGTAAACGGGCCAGCCAAGAGGAGATTCCCGATATTGACGATGCTTTCCGGGGCAGGAATTCCTGAGAGTTGTAGGCAGCAGGGGTAGCCTTGGACGGAGCTGGTCAAGCCAGGGAGGTAGATTTCCGGAGGCAGTTGACAGCGTGAAGCCGTGAGGCAAAGGAGAAGGTCACAGGGAAAGCAGTGCATAGGATGCTTACCTGGTAGAGCTCTGGAGTTGATACCGAGGAAGAAGAAACAAGATCCAACAGACCTTGACCAGCGGCAATGAGCTTCGATGATGTACTCAGTAGTCCGTCAGGTGCCTTGGATGCTCTTTGGTTCCCTCAGGTAGGGGAGCGTTGGGGAGCTTTTCGTGGCCTCCGATAGGTTCGCGCTTACGGTTCCAGCGGTTCGACGCTGTCACTTGAGGTAAGTCTGAATGTGGAGTGGTGGCAGCCCAAAATCGAGGTGATGTGCAGGATGGGGGGGTTGAGTCAGTATTGTTCCAGAAAGGAGGGATTGCGGTGAGGCTATTCCTGACGTGTTTGTGGGCAGGAAACGTATTGAACAGAGCGTGGGGCGGCTTGACTACCTAGGTAGGTACCTAGGCAGGTAAACCTACGAACTCACTCCAGAGCGTGGTGTTTAAGGCTCCGGGGGGCGCGCGGGGAGGCACATCCTAATGTTGCTCCGAGCCCGAGAAGGAGCACTGCAGCCCGAGAAGGAGCACTCCAGCCTGTGTCTCCTGCCTCTATGCCGTTGCGCAACTGAAACTCGCGATTCAAAGAGGTATCTGTGACTCCTAGGTGCCTGCCCGGCGGCAAAGACCCCTGGTAAAGGAAACCTCTCCATGCCCAGGCCTTGCCTTACGAACTATCGTCTTCGCCGTTCCTCGTGAGAGCTCATTACGATGGACTTCAGAGTTGCCGCCGCTCCGTCCTTTGCGCAGGGCGTATCTCCAAAAGAACGAACGCATGCTGTTGTACAGATCGTGCACACAGGGGATACCCTCTTTGGCTGGCTGCCTATGTCTATCCAAGCAAGACAAGGACACCCGTGCTCACTGAGCAGCGCAGCGCAGCCACTTGGCCCGTATGATTCCGTCCATGTTCCCTTCTACCGTTGGCTATTCGGAAGAGAATCAAGAAGCCACAAAGAAATGCGATTCGCAGGTTCAGGAAAGAAACTTCAATAACCTGACATATGGCACCGTCGCCATACGAGTTCTTGGGATATCGTGCTCCCACAGGGTCTGCAATGGAAAGAGTCGATTCGGAAATGAGTTTGCAGAACTTCTCCGAGCCACAGCCAATGCATGTAAGGAAAGGAGACACGGGCTCGTGAGCCAGCCGAAAATTTTGGCCATTGACGTGACGGTTTGGACGAGTTGTCACCTGGGAGGGGACAAGGTGACGAGGATGAGAAGGAGAGCTATCGAAGTCTAGGAGCCGAATGAATCGTCATTGGTTGTTCCTGTTAAAGACGCTCGGACCATTTATTGCAATAACGAGACGAGCGATGGTATCATCATCTATCGGCGATATGACCTAAACGAGGCTGAAAGGCACTCGCATGCGTGTTCGCACTGTATCGAGGGCAGCCTTGTCTTGTCACTTGACATCATGTTATCGTCAACCTTTCTTGTTCTCTGCTGCCGTCACCAGATTCTGGGTAAAGCCCCGAAGAGTCCGACAAAGAATACCAAGGAACAAGAGACATGGATTAAGAGGGATGGCACCCATCATCAGCCCTTCTGACAAGACACCCAATCGGGAACTCCCTCCTGCCCTGGCCAAACACCCCTCAGCAACACCCCTGGGCTCTTATGCCATCGTATTCGACTGATCAACGCAGCCATTCGTTTCAGGAATCAAGATCCCCTGCCCAAATTGATGGCTCAGCCTGATCTAGCCGCCTCCGAAGATTTCCCGTCCTAGGCACATCCCCCGCAGCACAGCCGCCATGAATGGCGATCAGCCTATGGCAACCCGTCCGACAACCCAGCCGCAATGTGATGGCCTGTAAGAGTGGTCAGGAGCACAGGGCATGTGAGCTCTCCGGATATTGTCTGCACTGATTCGAGTTTTGTGCGAGCTGCCTGTCTCGTGGAATTACCCATATGCCAGATCGGGCACCTGGTCGACCTCTCTGAACCCAGTGCTGTTGCTTGAACGCACCGAGCTTTATTGTCGGTGTCTTCTCTCGTCCGGCCCTTCTGGCGACGGGACCGGCGGGTCGGGGCGCGGTTTCGGGTGTGGCTTGTCCCCATCGCGTATGCGAGTTGCGGCGAAGGACGTCATCGTTGTTGATGGTAATGGGAGAGAAAACCGGTGGCGGCGAGTGAAGTTGATGGATCTGCTTCTGTTACAGCAGTTGATAAGAGTGCAAGTGTACTCTGAGAATGTCACTGAGGTGAGAATGATGATGGGCGTATGAGGGGTCTTATCCGTGAAGGCAGACCTCGGAAAAGGATGTTGGACCACAAATGGGTCGTGCTCGAGGATAGACGAAGGGACGTTTGGCGGGCCAGGACGAGCTTCACAATGCCGACTTGAGATGGTGGCCTCCCACTTCCTTTTATTCGCCCGCCGGCGACTCTCACAGAAGAAGCCCGCCCCCCGGGGAACCACCACAGGACCATCTTCTACCCCACCACCTGGATCGAGCTCGAGGCATCTGAGAGCGCTCGAGCGGACAGGGTCATGCCCTTGAATGATTATACTTTTCTTGGTCATTGATTTGGAAGCCAACAACATGACGATGTGCAGATGGGATCATGTGTCTGGCACCCTCGATCTCTGTCCTATAGCTGTCTGCCCTGATATCCAGGACAGCATGGGGCAATATGATTCATGTTGCCAGCACGCGGCTTGATCAACTACTCGCCAGACCTGGTCACAGCAAAGAAAACAAGTGTGACCTTGGCAGCAGTGCGATCATTCGGGAACGCTGAACGCGCAATATACTGCGAAAATGGAGCTGTTGTTGGAGGCAATCCATGGGGGATGGACCAATTCCGCCTCATGCGATGGCGAGCCAGGCCGCCCAGACTTTCACTGTGACAGGTTTATGGGGTCGATCACCAGGGTCTGCCGCTCAGCTAGCTATGGCAGGGGTTGCGAGGCACGGCTAGGCGTATGTGTATGTGTGTGTCGCGAGGTTCTCAGCTGACTTTGATATTAGCAGCAGGAATGAAAGGCGACAAAGTTTGGGACTGACTCAGGGCTGGGATTTAGGATGCGCGCCAACGATCGACGCCTTGCAGCAGTTTGACAACGGCACGTCACGGGCCTTGTTGGGCGATATCCCACCTATGAGTCTATTCGAGGCGCGCCCAACGTCTTTTGGGCATAGACCTGCCCGCGGCCCTTGTCCATGTGAGGGTGTGCGAGCTGGTCGTCTGTGCGGCTGTCTGCCCGCTTTTGCTGTCCCTGTTCCCTAATGCCGGGGATGGCCTATATGTGGTGGATGCGGCGTTTGCCAACACGCCCCCCAGTGCCCTGTCGTGCTTTGCATCGCCCCGCCTCGCCTTGTTCAAGAGGGACTCCTGTCATCATCATGCACGCATGCATGTCGCCCAGGAAAGACATTGCTGCAGAATGAGGGGATGTGCCTGGCGCCGCTCGAGCCCCCTCGGCGCGTTGAACCGAAGGAAGCAAAAAGTGGTCTGCAATCTTTCTCATCACGCACCATGGAACGCAGGCGGGCTGTGGTTGAGCCTCTTCGACGACTGGCCGGAAACACTGCTCAGCACCGACGTCGCTCTGCCACTGGCGCGCCTTGAATCAATAGTCGCAGGCAGGGGTGCTTCGCGTCAACAAAGAGCTTGGCCCTGGCCATCGTGGGATTCGTATCGAGTTCCTTGTCAGGCAGTTCGCTGTGCGCACGGCTCCTGATCTGATGTGGCGTTCTAGTTTGCCTGCGGCATATCTCGGCACGCTTCTGGTCTTGTCTCGCCTGTCCTAGCTCCCGCAGTGTCACACTCGCCAAAGCGCACAAACCATGCGGCGGCGGCTATCGAATGCGGTGGCGGGCGTACCGGCGAGCGCGAGGGATGACTGGCTGGCTGATCACCATATTTCATAGCTTGCGGACGGGTGAGAACAAGCGCCGGTCACGTACGTCGATGGAGGCATTTTTAAGACATGGCTTTTATCTGACAGGACTGACAGGCTGCTCAACATGTCAGCTTCGACAAAGCGGACAGACTATCACTCACGCACAGTCCCCAATGTCACACACGGCTGGGTTCTGGTCCGGGATTCTCCTCTCCTGCTGTTACTTCTTTGGGCCATATGCGGCATGTGCGCAGGCTGCGACGGCTTGATTGATCGAGGGCATTGATGGGGCCTGGCGTTGAGACAGCCCACTGTGCTTCGCCGATGTCTTGTTGGTCATCATTTCAGATTATTCCGCGCATATCTGGTCGACAAGGCCCTGGAGCCAATCGCGCAGCAACCTGCGTTACCGGATACAAGTAGTCACCCGATCGACTGTCAGTTCTCACGCCAGGTGTTTCCGCAATGCGTCGACCAACGGAGGGCGGAAGCTAGCAGACAACAGAGAGGACACAACAGGCGAGAGACAAGACGAGAAACATGAACAAACATGGGAAGAATGGCAAGGAGGTTCGAGGGCGGCAAGGGGGAGCAGAACAATCGGGGACACCAGGCAGGTGGTTCACTGCTTCTAAGGCCCCGTCGTCATCCATGCGCTCCCCTCCCCTCCGTCCCTGCGGCACCTGCAGCATGACATGCAGCTAGGCTGCACTCGAGTGGGATCAGGTGCCGCTACTGGGGCGCCCAGAGGACGCCGTCGGTCCGGCTACGACGCATCGGGGGCTCTCCATAGGCCACGGCCCGCCCTGAAGACGGACAAGACGGACACGGTTCTGCCTCACAGCCGGCCGGACGCGTTCTTTTTTTCCCACTACCCCGCGATTCCGCAGTCGTCGCGGGCGGGCGCAACCCCGCAACGCCATCACATGGGAGCAGCGGGAGTGGCAAGCTGGCTACCCAGGACGTGGGCGCGGCTTGCGCGGGCCACCCAGCGTGGTCAGGGCCAAGCGGCTGGTTGATGTTTTTTACCTAGGCTCATCGTAATGGCGTGTGCCGATGGCTAACCGAGAGACGGGTAGATGGACAGATTTGAGTTCTTTTATGTTAGACCTTTGGTAGGAAGCTTCTCTTGTCCCTCTCGACACACACATTGTCAGGACGCCTCTATCGGTTTTATCGTGCAACCAATTGACAGCCATTACTCAAGCACCACCACCAACACCACCAGTATGCTTGTCGCACATGAACGGGAAAAACTGCCGATGATACATGACTGACAAAACGCAGATCATCCCCAGCATCACCAAGCAGCCGCCTCGACCAACGCAATGGCACCCCTCACGCCGCACTGGACTCAGCCGTCGCACCCCGACGTGCAAGAGGTCGTCAAGGCCAGCGAGACCGAGTTCCTCACCAAGAGCCTCTCCAAGGTCGCCCTGCCGCCCTTTGCCGTCTTCTCCAAGATGACTTTCCCGCCTTGCACCCTCGCCGACAAGCCCACCTACGCGACCGTTCAATGTGGCAAGAACAAGCACCTCGATCTCAACAGCGACATGCTGTACATCAACCATTCGTGCGACCCCTCGCTGGTCAGTCATCCTGTCCCCTCCTCCGGTGCAGCCGGCGATGGACCCAGCGTTGCCGCTCTTCCTCTGCGCCAAACTGAACCTGCGTCTGTCGTGCGCCCCACTAACGCAATGGCGAACCTCGGTAGATTTTCGACACGGGCAACTATAACATTCTCGTCGGCCCGAAAGGCCTTCAGCCCGGCGACGAGCTGACCGTGCGTTTTTTGCCATCCTCCCCCTCCTAGCTGGTGGATTCGCTATTTTTGCTGACTTGAGACTCCTTTGGGGCGCCTCTCCAGTTCTTCTACCCCTCCACCGAGTGGTCCATGGCTCAGCCCTTCGACTGCTTCTGCGGCGCCCCCACCTGCCGCGGCACCATCAGCGGTGCCCGCGACATGACCGACGCCCAGCTCGACGGCCTCTGGCTCAACGGTCACATCCGCGAGCTCCTCGACGAGCGCCGCGGCCGCAACGGCCGCAACGGCAGTGGTGTGGAGGATCCCACGGCCCGCGCCCTGCAGGAGGCCGTGTCGCAGGCCGAGCGGGGCGTCGAGGCGGCGCGCGCGGCGCTGCGCGCTTACACCGAGGCGCACGGCTCGCGCGACGGCGTCAAGGGCGTCAAGTCTGTCAACGGAGACGCAGACTTTCCTTCCATTGCCGGGCGCCGCGGCGCGTCGTCAAGGGAATTGGCCGGTGAGATGGGCGGGGATACGATTGTCGTTTGAAGAGGGGGACGTAGTACAGGGAGAGTGGAGGGGAGGAGGGAAAGGGGACGACGTGAGTTTTCTGTTCGCGGGGTAACCGGCCGGTTGTACAACACTGGTTCGATAAGGAGGAGGGGGTAGGATATAGGGAGGAGCTCCCGTGCTTCCTGTCCGTAGATTCAACATCTGTGTCCTAAAGTGCTGCATTTTGCTGTTGTGAAAAAAAAAAAAGTTCTGCAATCATGGCCTTGGTTGTGTCCAGTTCGAAGAAAACGAAGAAAATGAAGACAATCACCCGAAACTCCGTGCACCAACCCCAATCCAACCCATCGTCCATCCAAACAAGACCAAAGAAGAAAAAAGAAAAAAAGAAATACAAGTCCCATGCGCAGGACCGAAAAAGAAGAAATCTTGCTCCAAAATACATCTCAGTCCCGCGGCTCCTTGCCCTCCTCCAGCTTCTTCTTCCGCCTCACCTCCCGAATCTCGTCGTCGTCGTCGTCGTCCTTCTTCGCATCATCAATCCACCGCCCACCCCACCCGCGCCGCCGACCCTTCTCCGTCCCGGCCCCCTCGGCATACTTGCTTTCCTCGGCCTCCCAGCCCCTCCTCTCCGCGACGCGCCGCGCGAAGAAGGCTCGCGCGAACCGCCACGCCTCCGTGTCGGCAAGGTTCCACGCCTCGAGGGCGCCGCGCACCGTGACAATCTTGTCGTCGTCCTCCTCGTGCTGGGCCGCCACGGCGCGCGCCAGCAGCGGCGGCTCGGCCTCGAGCTCGGCCTCGGTCGCGACGCGTCCGTCGGCGGGGTCGTGCTCCTGCTTCGGCCGGCGCTCGGGGCCCGGCACGGGCGTCTCGGACTGGCCCCTGTCGATGCCCTGGGGGACGACGAAGCCGAAGTGCCAGTCGAGCTCGTCGCGGAGGGCCGACGTCAGGGGCTTCTCGGCCGTCAGCCAGAGCGACGAGGCCGTCGAGGCGTCGGCGCCGACAGCTTCCTTGAAGTAGAGGACGCGCGGGGAACCGCCCACGGCGGCGCCGAGGAGCTCAATGGTGGCCGCGGCGAGCCAGGGGTCGCGGGGCGACTCGCGGCGGATCCAGCGGACGGTGATCGATGTGCTCATCTGGGTCATGACGGCCGTTGTGTAGGGGTGGGGCACGGTGCCGATCGTGTAGAGGGTCGAGGAGTTGCGGTAGCGGGCCGGGGTGCCGATGTGCATGGGCGTCGTCGAGACGCAGGGCGAGCAGTTTGGGTTGTTCGGCGGACAGGAGGCCACCATGGGCGAGGGAGAGCACTGGGAGAGGTCCTCGGCGAGGTCCCAGGCGTCGGTGACCATGTAGGTAGAGTGGTGGGGCAGGGGTTTGAGGACGGCAATGCCGCTTGTGAACGTGTTCTGCCACGTCGTGTGGAGGTGGCTGTTGATGAGATGGTTGAGGCTCCTGAGCCCCTTGGCCGGATCCTCCACAATGGCCGTGGCGACCTTGGCGAACTTGCCCTCAACGGTGTTGGCGTCGTACCACGCGATGGCTGCAGGCTTCTTGTCGATGATGAAGGTGTTCTTGGACACAATAGCAAGCAGGTCCTTGGCCTCGGCGGCCTTGTCACTGGCCAGGATCTCCTTGATGGCGGCGGCCACCTCGGTCTGCGGCCCGGCGAGCAGCCCGCTGCCGAGCTTCTCCCAGCGCGTCAGCTTGGGGTACTCGGCGCGGCGAAACGAGGCCAGCAGAGGGTCCTCGCGCGAGCCCATGGGCAGCGTTGTGTAGTATGTCAGCAGGCCGCCGCCCATGTTCTCCCAGGCCAGCCAGCGCATCAAGTCTGCCCTGAAGGCGGGGTCCAAGGTGGCGCGCTGGACGTCGGGGAACAGAGGGTTCTGCATGGCCTCGGCAGCGCTCAGGATGACGGGCCTGAAACCCTGCGCCCACCATGCCCTCCTCCAGGTGAGCAACAGATCGCTCTCGGCGTCCTTGACGGCATCATCCTTCTTGATGGTCGCATCGTAGTAGCAGTAAATAGGGGGCCGCTCTTTCAAGGGAGGCAGCAGCGAGCGGTCTTCGTCGAGGGTCAAGGAGGAGGAGAAGGGCACGGAGAGCCACTTCCAGTCGGCCCACCAGGAGCTCTCATCGTAGGTATCGTTCTTCTGGCGCGGCGGCGGGTGGGAGGGTTGCTTGAAGGGGTTGAGGACGCTCTGGGCGAATGGATTCTTGATCGTGGGAATCTTTGGGATGTGCTCGGTGTATCTGGTGAGCTGCGAATCGGGCGACAGGGCGTTCGGCAGGCTGATGAGGAGGGACAGAACGGCAAAGATGGAGAAGCAGACGAGGAGGAAGGAAAGGCGACGGGCGCTGAGGCGGGGTAGGGAGCGTCCGAGAAAGGTGTATTGCTTGGGCATACTGGCGAAAGGCGCAAGGCGCAAGGCGAGGCGATGGACAAGGTGAATTCGGAGGAGTCGACCGGGAGATGCTTGCGACAGGCCGTTCAGCGTTGTTCTCAACCAGGGGCGGTCATTGGGAATCGAGGCACTGTGGAGCGGTGGTAGGAATAAATGTCGATCCAAGATATGGCGCAATTGAAAGGGAATTGAAGTCGTTGCAGCGAAGAATGTTGTATGGTGGGGGTGTCTGGAGGAGGGTTGAAGGTTTGAGCTATCGACCATCAACATGCAGGTGTCGAGGCAACAAAGGAAAGCCTGAGGCGAGCCTTTTCCCAGGGGGCCCTTCAGGGGGTTCCAGGGGGCTACTACAGGGGGCAGCTCCAGCGTGTCGGTAGCGCGTCGTCAGGTGTCACGTCACCCTGTGACGCAGCGCATCTCAGCGCGAGGACCTGCATGATGTGCCTGGCCGAAACGGGTTCAAGGTGTGGCTGTGGTGGCTCACTCGACCTGTACGGCGGCCCATAGGCACGGGAAAGGGAAGAAAGTCAAGCTTCAATGACAAGCTCTTTTTACACCACCACCACCACCACCACCGCATGGGGACGGCGTATGACACATAACGTGCCTTTTCATAGTCACAGCAGCATAGTCACGCCATATACCAACAAGCATACCCCAGACACAGGCAAATAAATACCCCCGGAACGACGACAACATCCCCGTCAGGACATGCCAGACCAGCCCGAGATGAAGGTTGATCCCGCGAGAGCCAAGGCTCTCACGACTCAGCTCGAAGCCGTCACAGCCCGCCTCACATCCGCAGCCAAGGGCCGCCCTGTCCGGCTCGTGGCCGTCTCCAAGCTCAAGCCCGCCAACGACATACTCGCCCTGCACCGCGACGCCTCGGTCGTGCACTTTGGCGAAAACTACGCCCAGGAGCTCATTCAAAAGGTCGACCTCCTGCCCAGCACGCTGCGCTGGCACTTCATCGGCGGCCTGCAGTCGGGCCACGCCAAGAAGCTCGCCCACATCCCCAATCTGTTCTGCGTCTCGAGCGTCGACTCGCTGAAGAAGGCGAGGCTGCTGAACAATGCGCGCGCCGACCTCCTGGCCCATGGGGAGGACGTCGACAAGCTCAACGTCCACGTCCAGGTCAACACGTCCGGCGAGGAGGCCAAGTCTGGCGCCGCGCCCGGCGACGAGACGGTCGCTCTCTGCCGCGCCATCGAAGACGAGTGCCCGGCGCTGAACCTGCTCGGCCTCATGACCATTGGTGCCATTGCGCGGAGCAAGGCGACGACGGCCGAGACGGAGAATGAAGACTTCCTCGCTCTCAAGGAGCAGAGGGATCTCGTGCGGAAGGAACTCGGACTCGAACGAGAGCTCGAGCTGAGCATGGGCATGAGCAATGACTTTGAGGGCGCCGTCGCCATGGGCAGCGATGAAGTTAGGATCGGCAGCACCATCTTCGGCGAGAGGGGCCCCAAGAGCGAGGCTCAAGTCTCAGTCTAGTCGCTGAACTGTTCATCATCATCATCATCAGGGAGAAGCGCCAAAAAGGGGGAAAGGGGAAGGGGGCATATTTGGAATAAGGTGGCAACCGAAGTTCTGTACAATCAAAGACAAGTCTTGGATTCTTGAAAATTTGGTGATAACAACAGCTTCAACCCAACTCGAATTGGATCAGCGGGAATGACTGGTATCCTCCATGCTCCCTCCAACCCCCCTTCCCGTACGCCGTTTTTGCTGTAGCATGCTCAGAAAAACCAACCACAGTAGATGAATCACAAATGCGCCCGCCGACGTACATTCGCGCGCCAGGGTATTTACGCCACCATGACGTTCGAAAAGGCGTCCGAGATCTGATCCCGGCTCGGTGGTGACGGCTTGTCGAGGCCCATGTTCATACCAACTGCCAAGCGCTCCTCCATGAGCCTCATCAACGTTGATGGCACCGTCTCGTCCGTCGCCCGAATCGTGAGGCGTAGCATCTGATGGAGACACGTTAGCTCATCGTTCTACACGAGTACCATTGCGGGCTGTATCTGGAACATACCTGTGTAACGTAGTTGGGTTCGAGGCGCATGAGACAGCCAAACTTGCCCCCCTCCGACGTGTGCAGCACGCTGGCGCCCACAAAGTTCTTAGAATTGGGATCCACGCCCTCGAGCACCCGCCATCGGAACCCTTCGACCGTCTTCTTGACGAACGTGTGGTTCATCTCCTTGCCTGCGTACTTGCTTGCCGCGTTCAGGCCGACGACCTGCTGCGCCTCCCGCGCGCCGCCGCCAATCTGCTTCCACCGCTTGAAGAAGTCTTCCGCCGACAGGTCCGCGGGGTCCATAAACTTGTGCGCCGCCACCGGCAGCTTCAGCGTCAGCGCCTGCAGGGCGCCAGCGAGGTAACTGATGCGAATCGTCGGGCTCTTCTCGAAAACCCGCTTGGACTCAAACATGATGACCTGCTGGGACTGGGCGCCCTGCGCGATCGAGCTGTCCGGCATGCCCTTGATATCCCACGTCAGCTTCCCCTTCTCGCTCTCGTCCAGATCCAGCGTCGTCGTGAATGAGTTGATCGTCGCTGGCGTGTTGTTGGAGAAGTAGAGAATCAGACAAGCCATTTGACCCCTGTACTCCGACCGGACGCCGACCTGGATCTGGCCGTCCTCGAAGAGCACACCTTCAGACCGCAGCAGCAGCTTATTGAAGCCCTGCTGCCAGCCGGGCGACAGATGGGCCGCGCTGGCCAGGTTCAGCGGCTTCGTCTTGGGCTCGGCAGGTCCAATGTTGTTCATGTCGAGGCCTGCCAAGTCGCTCGCGCTGGACTTGCCGTTGGCCCCATTGGCGTGCCCGTTGAGAGCGCCGTTGGAGCTGAAGGTTCTCTTGAGGGCCGCGTTCTTCGCCATGGCCAGCTCTGACGCATCTGCATTTGCATGCTTACCACCCACAACCCAAGTCCTCTTATCACTTGTGTTGGCGTGCTTCTGATGCAGTCTCGACAGGAGTGCCGACTGGCGCTCGGGGAACGGCGGCATCTCGTCCAGAACGGTGCGCAGAAGATCGTCCGTGGGCATGTTGGCCAGGGCCAGGTATTCGCAAGCTCGCTGCTGCAGCTCCGAGTCCAGCGTGTGACTGAAGATGCGGAATGCGTTGAGGAGCTGGGGCTTGATTTCTGGGAAGAGGTTCACGAATTTAACAAAGCAGGACAGAATCATGGCTCGAGTAGGCGATGAGCATGCCGAAATTTTGCCCTGCAATGCCAGGAACTGCTCAATCGGGCTACACTTGGGCTGGTCGGCGATCAAGTGACCAAACTCGCCCAGGATGTACGCACCAATCTTGACGAGCGTCTCGTGGCAGTGGTCCTGCTTGACGTACTGAAGTGAGTGCTGGGCCGCGTAGACCTGCAACTCCTCGTTGTTGGTCACAATCTGAATCACGCGCTGCCAGACCTCGTCGCTGACGTGGTCGCCGGCCATGGCGATCAGTCGCAGCGAGATGTCAACGTACCACTGAACGTCGGTAGCGTACTTTTCCGTCAGAATAGCAATCTTCAGCACCATCTCTTCGCGAATAGCAAAGTCGGCGTTTTGCAGAAAATGCAGCAGCTCGCCAACAATGACCTGGGCGTTGGACGTGTCGCACATGCTGTAGAGAAGGTCAAGGCCTTTCCTCCTGACACTGATGTCCCGATCTTTGAGGGACCCCACGATGACATCTTGGTGCTGCTTGATAGGCTCCAGGTTCTCGCCCCGCGCGGCAAGATGCGTCATGGCTTCGAGACCAAGGTAGCGAACATTGGTTTCCCGTGAAGTGAGGAAACGTCCCAGCCTGGAGGAAATCTGCTTCATAAGGGCAGTCTCCGTGTCCAAGTGGATGACGAGATCAATGGCCTCGAACAGCACGGCATTTTGCGCGTTATTCTGCTGAACGTTCTTGGTCTGTTCAAGGGCGAGGTTAAGAATCTTTTGAATAGATTCTCGAATCATGTCGCGGATATGGGTATCCTCTGCTCTTTGTTAGCACGCTGACCCACCACCATGGCATAGGGGCTTGGCTTCGAGTGCTTACCGGACGGAGGGAAATATTGCAGGAGGCGGAGTAGCTTGACCTGGATCCAGGGGCAAGGCACTTTGTAGTAGAGGTAGTCGGGTGTGAACTCGCCGTCGATAACGACGCGCTTGAGTTTGATCGCGGCTCGGGCGTAAGCACCCTGGTACTGTTCGAGGTTGTCCTGTGCTAGGGCCATAACGAGGGATGTGACTGATAAGGCCACGCCCAGATCGGGATCGTCCATGAGCGATATGATGCGCTCAGCCCATTGGGGCTGGATAATCTCGGGGTGCTTGCGGTACAGGCGCAGCAGAGTCAGAGCTGCCTTCTTCTTCACGAAGGTCTTGGATGTACTGCCCAGGCGTCAGTATCACAATCCTGCGTTATTGGTTTCCAATGAGACATACGGAGCGATCAGGAGCCTGTGGACCTCGCTGCTCAAGGCTTCACCCATCTCCTTGCTACCCACGTTCGCAATGGCGTGTAAAGCGAGACAGTTGAAGAGTTCATTGTTCTCCAGTAAATCCTTCCGGATACTGTTGACAACGAGATGAAGCAGCTCGTGCTTCTCATGGAGGAAGAGGGTCATGGCGAGATAACCAATCTGCTTTTCAGAATACTTGGTTGCTGAAATGAGGTTCACGGCCTCGAGGTGGCCGAAATCGACGTTCCATCCGAGGATGTAGATGTAGAGCAGCTGACAAGAGTTGTTAGTCTCGATCAAGTGTTGGGCTGGACGGCATGTCGTAATCGACCCGTACCTTGCAAACATATTTCTTCTTGTGGTAGCCGCTCAAACTGCCATCTGATGTACCCTTAGTATTTGACGTCCAGCATTTCCCTTCAGCCAGGTGATGGCGTCACATTGTGCGCACCTTTGAACTTTTGACGAATGTTGGCCAGTTCCTTGTTGATTCTCTTTTCTTCGAGATCTCTCGCTCGAGCATTTCGCAAGTCGGCAATGAACTGGACGAGGCCTCGCATGTTGGCCGTATTACTACTCGACCGGCCGAGGAAGCCACCCGTTACGGCCGACATTTTGTGGATGGAAAGGGGCGGGGGGTTGTGGCAGCTACAGGAATCTCGCGTTGGTCTGTTGGTTGGTACGGATGTTGGCGCCGCCGTCAACCGTCGTGGTCAGAGTAGAGCTCTGCTTCGATCGTATCCCTTACTCCATATGCGCAGAGCTTGGGAATCGCGAGGTCGTCAGCCGTGAACCGGCACAGGTGATGTATGCCCGGCCGAACCGGCTGTCGCACTTTGGTTCAGTGTGGTGGTGGTGGTGGGGGGCTTTGGGAGATGGTCGACTGGCGGTCAGGTCGTGTCGTTCGGAGCTCGGGGTTTTGGAGGATTGGTCGGCAGGGTGGCTAGCGACGGGATTAATGTTGCAGAAGTGCGCGCCAGGAGCGAGATGGCTGTCGATCACGGCGAGAGACGTGGTTGAGGGCCCAAAAGTTGGTGTTACGATGTGCCCCTGTCCAAGGCGACCACGTCTAGAATCGAGAGGATGGATAGATACTCCGTCTCTCCTCGTTAGCGACCAGGGGTCCTGGCGTTGGTGCTCGTGCTCATTCTACAGTGCAGACGCTGGAGAGGGGCTCAGACCGGGGCTTTAGGGGGCGTGGCCTAGGGTATCTTAGGGGGTTACTAATGATGGGCACCCATCGAACTCCACTTGCCACGGCGTGTGGTTGTTTTGGGGAGGCGATATTGATCCCGAGCCAAGTCTTGAAGTACATCGCTCACTGAATGTATCGTTCGATAGCAGCAACACGCCATGTCCTTCTCAGGACTTAGATAAACCGCATGCGCGTTCCACCGACTTCTTTCCGGTGGCCTGAAGCTGGGATGATCTCTCTATAACATGCAAGATCCGCCCAGACACTGCTGTGAGGTACACCAAGTCGAGATGAAAGACAGCGGCAACGGTACATGGTCTGTGCATGTCTCCACCCTGGAATCCAAACTGTAGCTGCTCTGAGGTGTGGGTGCCATCATCGACTTTGGCGAACTCGAAGCTCGCACTCTCTTCAATCTCTCCGTCGCACCCACCTCCAACCCTGACGACGGACGAGTAGGCGACCATACCCATCTCCGGCATGTGAGGGCGAAGCGCGCCCGTTTTCCCTACATTATGCATCAGACATTGCGATCCCTGCGCCCCCTCGGGCAAGCTTCATCGACTTGGCTCCGAGCTTCCACCAAGCTTGCCGTCCGCGCTGCACCTCGCCGCTTCTACGCATTCCAAGCCGGCGGATCACCAACTTTCCAGGTCTTCAACCGCCACACGAAATGGCTGCAAAAGGAGCGTGCCGCCGCTGACGCTGAAGCCAGCCGGGAGTCTGACTACCTCAAGGACGAGGTGGCCAGGCGACTTTGCGAGCGCCTACTGGTACGGTCTGCCCCGCCACAAACACACAGATACGACGCCTCCATCGAGGTATAGGCTGACTCCTCAACCAGGATATCAATCGCTCTTTTCCCAAGGTCCTCGACCTCGGCGCCAATTCATGCAACATTGCACGCGCCTTGACGGCAGAGAATCCCGATCCCGATCCAGCCCTCCCCATCAGTCCGCCTCTCGCGACGCGCATCGAGGAGCTGGTTGCCGCCGAATCCTCCAGCACTCTCCTCCACCGCGATGCCGACCTCCCCTTCAATAAGGACATCACCATCACCCGCGATGTTCTCGACAATGAGGAGTTTCTTCCCTATGCCCCCGGCACCTTTGACCTCGTCTTGAGCTCCATGAGTTTGCATTGGATCAACGACCTGCCCGGCGTCCTCACCCAGATCAACAACGTTCTCAAGCCAGACGCCCCCTTCATGTGCGCCATGCTCGGCGGTGATAGCCTTTACGAGCTTCGTACGAGTCTGCAGCTCGCGGACCAGGACCGCAGGGGCGGCATCTCGCCGCACGTGAGCCCACTCGCCGACGTCAAAGATATGGGTGGTCTGCTGCAGCGGACCGGCTTCAAGCTGCTCACCGTCGATGTCGAGGACATCATTGTCGATTACCCGGACACGTTTGCCTTGATGCAGGATTTACAGGCCATGGGCGAGTCGAATGCCGTGCTCGGCCGCGAGATGGGGCCCATCGGGAGGGATGTATTGCTGGCGAACGAGGCCATCTACAGAGAACTCCATGGCAATGAGGACGGCAGCATCCCTGCGACGTTCCGCATCATCTTCATGATTGGATGGCACGAGGGTGATAATCAGTCCAAGCCGTTACCGCGGGGCAGCGGTGAGGTCAACCTCAAGGATATCTTATCCACGGAATAGGCAGTCGCACACATTGGTTCGGGGTTGCATGTCATGTAAAATAGGCAAAAGTGTACATATAGAGGACATGGTCAGGGTCAGGGGATGGACAACAGGGTCGGCATGAACACACCAAAGCACATTCGCTCAAAGAAGCGAAGCAAGAATACCACGTTTGAATACAAATCAATAGTCTAAGCTTGCAATCATTCATTCATCGTTGCCTTCCCCTACAAACACAACGGCTAAGCTTCATTTTCGTCTCGCCTCCTTTCTACACCCGCCTCCAATCCGTCATGGTCCTGCCAATGCTGCCGAGTCCCGCCACATCAACGACCTTCTCATGCCAGCTCAGCAGCACGCTCATGGCGGCACCGACGCTCTCGTTCGCGGCGCCGGGCCGCCCGCCGCCAATCTGGCTGAACCCCGTCGCCTGTGGCGTCACGGCGCTGCTGCCCGCCGACCTGACCGGCGGCGCCGCGGCGCCCATGCCCTTGTAGATGTACTTCATCAGCACGTCGAGGAGCTCGGCGCCGCCGGGCGAGCCGTAGATGCTCTTGAGGAGCGGGGTCATCTCAGACGCCTTGATGGACTGGAGGACTTCGGTGATGGTCTGGAGGTGGGCGTCCTGCGTCTCCCGTTAGCACTTGACGGCCGCGACATCACAAGCCCACAGCCTCTCAAAATAAAATAAAAAACCGGCTGGGGAAGTGCTTGTTTTGGTTCGTTGACGAATAGGGGAGCCAGCATACCTTGGCGGCGTCGGGGCCGTTGTAAACGGGGAACTCAAGGCAGCCGCGCAGTGCGCCCTCGGGGTCGCCGCCGCGAAGGAGCTGGCGGACCTGGCCCGCGAGTCCTCGGACCTCTGCCTCGCTGACCTCGGGTTGCGGGGGGTGCAGCGTCGAGGTGTCAAAGTTGTAGGGCGAGTCCTCCTCGAGGGCGTCGATGTTGATGGTGCGCCATTGGTCGCCGAGCGACGCTGAGGTGTGTTGCTGAATGATAGACATGGCCGGGTCGGTGCTGATCTCGGTATGCGCGGGTTTGGTGCAGGATGAGCAGCCCTTGGATCTGACGAGGAGCACGTCGGGGGAGGGGCGCGGTATCTCTCGGATGGGGGGTGGTCTCGTGGGTTGGTGGTGGGGTGAAGCTGGGGGATGCGTATGCCTTAGTGCGTGACGTCGTCCGGCGTCGTGGTTGGTTGAGGCTGAGCTCTCCTGAAGAGGTGGCACCTTGGGTGAGCTGTAGCACGTGACGCCCTTTGAAATCGAATTGCCTCTGTCAGACTATCACCATTTCATTCTCGACTCCATCTGGAAAATGCTCAAGTGGGTAGATTATGCCTACTAAACGACATCATCATCGATTTTATGCGTACAAAAGGGATTTGTAGTGAGGCGACCTCGAAGACATTCTCAAGAGACTGAAACTCAACGAGGAACGACGAGCAACCAATCAATTCCACCTCCATCTCCAATATCGGGTTCCAAGATCTTTTAGGTTTGCTCCGGCTGGACCAGAAGGACACTACATTTACGAGACGAAAATCCTCTCAGAAACTCGCAAATGAAGAAATTGAGATTGCCTGTCGCGCTTCAACGCAAGTTTCTCAGTAACGAACACGCCTGAGAGGCATGCCTACAGTCACAATAGAAACACTCGCCGCATTTCTGGTCAATGTGCGGTACTGTAATATTCAATGCAAACATAGGTCTGAACGTCCATCGCCTCCCTTACGGATACACACAGGCGGGCATGTCTCTGAGCCCCCATTACCAACTGCACACACGCCCGCTGGCATTGCCCCCATGAAACCCGACTCAGCCTCACCAAGACTTATCAGCGCTCTCATGCGTCGATGAGGTTCTCCTCGTTCTGCTGCACCTGGTCACGCTGCTTCTGCTTGTCCTTGGCCTCCTTCGCCGCCCTTTGGTAAAACTCGTTGAGAATCTTGGCGGGGATACGGTTGAGCAGGTCCTTGGGGTAGATGCGGAGCAGGCTCCACGCGAGGTCGAGCGACTCGAAAATGGTGCGTGCCTCGTAGGGTCCCTGGGCAATGAACTGGCGCTCAAACTTCTCCAGGAACTCGAGCGACAGCTTGTCCTCGTTGGACAGAGCCTCCTCACCGACGACAGCCTTCATGGCCGCGGCGTCACGACCAATAGCGTACTTGGCGTACAGCTGGTTGGAAACATCGCCGTGATCCTTGCGGGTCATGCCCTCGCCAATGGCAGACTTCATGAGACGAGAGAGCGAGGGAAGAACGTTGATGGGCGGGTAGATACCACGGTTGTACATGGGTCGGTCGACGAAAATCTGGCCCTCCGTGATGTAGCCAGTCAGATCGGGAATGGGGTGGGTAATGTCCTCGTTGGGCATGGTCAGAATGGGGATCTGGGTGATGGAACCGTTGCGGCCCGAGACACGACCAGCTCGCTCGTAAATGGTCGACAAATCCGTGTACATGTAACCCGGGAAACCACGACGACCGGGCACCTCTTCACGGGCGGCGGAGACCTCACGAAGAGCGTCGCAGTAGGCGGACAGATCCGTAAGAATGACCAGAACGTGCTTCTCGAGCTGGTAGGCGTAGTATTCGGCGGTGGTGAGGGCGAGACGAGGGGTAATGATACGCTCGATGCTGTTTGCTTGTTAGCGTCATGCTCGCGCGTGCACAGCGGAACTTGACATACGTAGGGTCGTTGGCGAGGTTGAGGAAGAGTGTGACACGCTCCAGACTGCCGTTCTCCTCGAAATCGCGAGTGAAGAAACGGGCTGTCTCAAGGTTGACACCCATGGCACCGAAAACGATGGAGAAGTTCTCCTCGTGACCATCATGCACGCCCTTGTTGGTGACACCCTGTTGCTGGACCAGACTAGCCTGTCGGCAAATCTGCGCAGCGATTTCGTTGTGAGGCAGACCGGCGGAGGAGAAGATAGGAATCTTCTGGCCACGCGCAATCGAGTTCATCGTGTCGATGGCAGAGATACCGGTCGAGATCATCTCTTCGGGGTATTCCTGAGGAAATCAGCATGGCGTTCCTTCTACAATGGGGGCAGCTTGCGATGACATACTCGGGAGAAGGGGTTAATGGGACTGCCGTTGATGTCGAGGTACTCCTCGGCGAGGACCTTGGGGCCCTTGTCAATTGCGCGACCGGAACCATCGAAGACACGGCCCAACATGTCCTCGGACACTCCGAGCTTCAAGCTCTGGCCGGTGAACTCGACTTTTGTCTGCGCATTGTTTAGTGGGGGTGGCTCCTGGTATTCGTTGGAGGGGCCGCCATACCTTCTTCACGTCAATGCCGGTGGTACCCTCGAAAACCTGTCCAGCTGTCAGTCAATGTACCAGATGAGGCATAAACTCGTTGATGCTTGCGCACCTGAACAACGGCTCGGTCACCTAGGGCTTCATGTCAGCATGGCAATCGTGCGGATGGCATTCTTGGGTAAATACCTCGAGCCTCGAGAACCTGGCCAGATCGCTGCGTGCCATCGGGAAGGGTGATGTTCACAATCTCGTTGTACTTGGGGTATTTGACCTGCTCGAATGTCAGACTCTGCATGCTGGGAACGAGTGTCGGAGGGTTGTGGAACGGACATTCTCGAGGATGACCAAGGGGCCGTTGACGCCACCGACAGTGTTGTAGCGAATTCGGGGCAGGATGGAGTAGGAGGACGAGTCTCGCGGGTCCGACATGGTGGGCGGTTGTGTTGCTGACCAGCGCCCTTAGAAGGGGTTTTTGGAAGGGGATGCGAGGCGAGGCGGGAGGGCGGGAAGGGTGCGGTCGGCGATGAGGGACGGGGACCTGGTTCGGCTTGAGAAGCAAGGCGATGCAGCAATGCAGCTGGAGGAGAGGTTGGAGTTGGAGCTTGCACTGGGCCCTCCGCTCCACTGGCTGTCTGGGCGGTGGAGCCGCGCCGGCTGCGCAATGGTGCCTCAGCAGCAAGGAGGCAGCTGCCCGCCCAGGTCGGTAAGCTTAGCCAGCTTTTTGGACCGCGATAAGATAGCGCCGTGTGGAGCTGTCAGTGACATCACATGACTGTTGAGGTGCAAGTCAAGGTCGAGGGTTCCTTTTCGTGGCATTGCAAATTGGACACCGCAACGGAATTAAGTTCAGATTTAATTGCCATCTTTTTTTTTATGAAAAATCAAGTCTCCTTCGGCCATCTACGCCCTGGAGCGCGCTCCAAGCACCGCCTTGCCCACCGTGCTCTCATTTGACTTGCCCAGCTCGCCCGTGATCCAAGCCCCAATATCCGACACGGCATCCAGATCGACACCGGTCTCCATGCCGAGCGTGCTCAAGAAGTACACCATGTTCTCCGTGGCCACGTTGCCCGTCGCACCAGGGCTGTAGGGACACCCACCAAGTCCTCCAATGCTGCTGTCGAAGGTTCTGATGCCATGCTCCAGCGAGACGGCCGTGTTCACCAGCGCCTGGCCGTACGTGTCGTGAAAGTGCATCGCCAGATCCTCGTTACGGATGCCCGCAGACCGCATGCAGTCGAGCAGGGCCTTGGTCCTCGGCGCGGTGCCCATGCCCGTCGTATCGCCGAGCGAGATCTCGTCGGCACCGGATTCGAGCAGGTCCGTTGCAATCTCTGCGACCTTGTGAGGGTCTACATCGTAGCCCTCAAAGGGACAGCCCAGGACGACGGAGATATAGGCCCGTACACGCACACCGCTGGCCTTAGCCTTCTGGATGACCTCGCGGAAACGTTCGAGCGAGGTGGCGATGTCGCAGTTGAGGTTCTTCTTAGAGAACGACTCGGTAGCGGCCGCGAACACGGCAATCTCCACGCCTGGCTTGGACGAGACGTCGATGGGTGGCCGGAGCAGGGAGGAGAAAGCATCGGGGTGTTTCTCGAGCAGGTCTGTGGCGTTCTGAAGACCCTTGGCGTTGGGCGCCAGGAAGGAGTAAAGTAGTGGAGAGGGCGAAGAGATGGCTTTTGTGAGAATGTGCTCCATGATTTCGCTCGAATTGGCCATCTGGACCCATCTCGTCAGCAACGTGCTACCCCTCATCACCAGCTCCAGAGACGACGTACTTGGGGAACCCATTTCGGCGACACAAACGAGCCGGCCTCGATGGTGGTCAGGCCCGTCTTGGCCAGCCTCTCGATCAATTCAATCTTGGTCGCCAACGGGATGGCCTTTTTCTCATTCTGGAGGCCATCGCGGGGTCCGACCTCGACTAGCTTGACGAAGGTGTCTGATGGCGGCGGCTGCGGTGGAGTCGGCGGTGGTTGACTGCCGTGCGCTGTAGCGAAGCCTCGAATTGGTCGAAACGGACGAAACTTTGCCTGTTGACAAGCCCTGCAGATAGCAGGCCGAACGAAAGACATTTTGGTGACTGTATTGATCCAGGACTCGTGCAATGGACTGCGAGATTGTGAGGATGAAGGACGAGGGGCTTGGGGATGGGTTGCGAACGGAAGGTCAGGCGACGCATACCATCGGCCCTCGGCAGGGTGAGGGGCCCCGGCGCGTACAGCTCCTGTTTGCGCGACAGTTGCTGCCAGCTGTCAACATCCATCCCTCGCCTCCATTTGAACTGCAAGGAATACGAATCTTTTCTTCGTCGTGTCGCTTCCCCAACTTGCGCGGGTTGGCAAGGCAAAGATGTAGCTCAGATTTCAAGGCTGACATGTCTCTGGGTAAAAACTCTCACCTGTCTGTGTTTCAATGACGTCCAGCCAACCCGGCTGCGGAGGCACAGCTGGGTCATAGCAATGAACCTAGAGCGCACCCGAGGACCATAGAACAATGAAATGCCGGGAGGCCAGCCTTGTCATGTCGTCAGGGTTGGATTAAGGTAAGGTAGTTTACGATGCATTTTGGCTATGTTCCACGTAGTGCCCACCTTGAGGATGGAGGTGAGAAAGTCAATATTGGGGTCTCTCCAAAGTTACCGGGACCCCAGAGTCTCCACCATACAAAGATTGAAAGCTTTCGTTAGCTACAGTTTCGTTCGCAAAGGTTATTGTCATGTAGGAGGGTGTAGGTCTAACAACGACGACACGCCCGATCCCAGACACCCCCCTCCAACAGGCTAGATGGCCGTCGGGACATATGTCTATGGCGCACGACGACCAACAAGGGTATGCCTTATTCCAGGCACGGAGTCGAGCGAGAGCTGTGGGCCGAGGCTTGGAACATGTCAGACTTTGTCGAAGTACCTATAATGATGCGTGCTCCAAAATAATAGGCTTTTGCCATGATACTCGCCCATACATTTGATTCATGAACATGAGGCATGAGAGATGCAGAAATGAAGACGCTGTACGTGCCTTACTAAGGTACCTAGGGGCACCGCTGACTTACACGACGTTTGAACAGAGACGAGGGGAGGGAGAACCCAAAGCACAGTGTATCCACTGATGTCCATCACAGCCAATTGGGGCGGGCCCAGTGCCCGACAGAACATGCTTTCAGCCCTACGAGAGGGGCCTTCAGCCCTATGGTCGGTGTAGGCGTCCTGTGTTCTTGGCGGATGCCATCAACGTACGGTGCAGTCTCAGTCATTGCAGCCCATTTGATGGCATGGCTTTCTGGTACACCCTGTGGGAGTCCAGATTCCGTCATGAAGGTCGTTTTGGCTTCAATGGTCGGCCCAGCGCCTTCCTTTGCCCGCGTGAAAGCAGCTGGCAATGTCTCTCCAGTGACCCAGCATCCTTCATAGTCCCACCGTCCATAGTCGGAGATAGGGCAGACTGCCATGGACCAAGGTCTACAAATGTTATTTGTGTTTTTCTGCTGATTTGATCCCTTTCTCGTTGTGCTTGGTCGGAGAAGGCTTCTCGACGAGTCCCACCCCGACCTCTGCGGGCAGGCAGTCCCGGCCATGACGATAGTTCTTTCCCCCCCCTCCCATGGCCATTGGAAAGTCTTGCGTCCATACCATAATTTCGTAAACAGCTGCCCGCGCCATGCTCCCTTGATAACTCTCCTCAGCTACCATTTGGACGCTGCATGCGCCAGAATGACTTTTTCCCATGGACATGGCTGGACCGCCACCTGTCCCATCAACATTATCATGGGACCAGAACAATCAGATCTTCATCCAATATGACTTTTTCACTCAATGGCATCCCAACTTGATGCTCAACCTTTATGGCTCTGCTCAGGATACTTAAAGGGCGGCCGCCTTGGTGTCCCCCGGCACTCCTACGAATATCTCCATTCCCTCTACGTGTACACATTGAGCACATTGTCAGCTACAGTCAGTCACGATCCAGTCTTCTGGCAGTACACATCGAAAAGCGAACGCAGATACTCCCTTTTACGAAGCCTTCAAACATAACAAGCCCTCGAGCTTCTTCTTAACACACATTCTACATACCACCCCTGGTAGCTTGCCCTGGAGAAGCCAGCGCCTATTCAATTACATACACCGTCGCTTCAAGTCAAAGACATCAACTCCAAGACATTCATCCCAAGACATCAAATCCAAGGTAAAGAGTCATTTCATACCTAATTGGCACTGCATACTAATAACGAGACAGTAGACTCAAGATGAACAGCAATCAGTACCGGGACCAGGCTGGCGCTAATACGCAGTTGACCGGCCTTGGTCATTCAGCAGGGTGGAACACGTCGCTGGGGGGATTCAATCCCAACGCTTACACACCAGAGGGCAATATAACCCCACTGGGCATGAACCCGCATCTTAATGCAGGATTTGCCTCTACGCCATCTCAGGCCTATAGCTTAGGGCCAATCATGTCCCAAGGCAGCATGGCCATGTCCTATAACAACATGGCACCACAGGGCAACATGACGATGTCCTATGACAACATGATAGCCCAAGGTAACATGCCAATACCCTATGGGAACATGTTGCCCCAAGATAACATAACAATGCCCCAAGGCAGCATGGTGCTTCAAGACACTATTTTGTCCCAGGGTAACATGGTGCTCCAGGACACTATTATGTCCCAGGGTAACATGGTGCCTCAAGGCAACACAATGATACCCCAGGGCAATATGGCACCTCAGCCAAGCTACTGGCATGTCCCTGCACAGGGTCTTTCATTCCCCTTTGGCCCAACGAACAACCAGGCCCAAGACCATTCGTACCAGCGGCGCAGGGCCGAATTCGTTGCAGCTGTGCAGACACAACGTCAAGAGTCTCGGCGGGCGAACAAGACGAGCCGCAGCAGACCCTACAGGCGCAGGTGTCAGGCTGGTATTCAAAACGATGGGGAAAGCCAACCTATTCCAGCTGTGCTCTCAGAAGGGCTGGTTGACAATCCGGTCGCTTCTGCGACGGTTGCTACTCCGGTGACAGTTGCTGGTCCGGTGGTTGAAACCCCGGGCCAAAATCCAGGCCAAGACGTCGACCCCGTGGCCATGCTTGAGAGCCTCTTCGGTGAGGGCGAATTTGAGAGCCTCTTCGGTGGGGGCGAATTTGAGAGCCTCTTCGATGAGGACGACTTTGAGAACCTCTTTGGCGAGTCGGGCGGTGAACCTGATACTGGTACCGCCAACGCCGGCGCGGCCATGCCGGCTCCTAGTCCGCTCTCTCCGACCTTCTCGAGCAGCCTTCCCGGCCTATCCGCTGTGGTAAGTGATAGCGTGCCCGAGCAAACCCCGGTGTCTACTTCACCCGCGGTGCTCAGCGAAAGCACGAGCCCTGGGACCGAGCAGCCTGCCAAAAAGCGAAGAACCAAGATTGGCAGCCAGTCGTGCGAGATGTGCAGGAAGTCTAGAAAGGCCTGCCACCGTCAAGAGAACACATACTCGTGCGTCCGTTGCCACACGGCAGGCATGCCGTGCAACAAGTTTGACCCCAGCGCGGCCAAGCCCTCAGACGGACGCACGAACAATACTGTGCAGCGCAACCATCAGCGCATCTACGACGAGGGCCGCAGCGTCATTGAGAAGCTGTGGAAGGCACTCACTGCCATTGTGCCCCAAAGCGCGAATGAGGCGCCCGAACTCGTGGCGCGCCGCCTGGCTCTCGCGCAGTGTGTCCAAGCACGCATGCCGACGAAGAATGTTGAGAGCTGGGTTCCCATCACAGACATGGAAATTGAAGCCCTCGACCTAGCCATGCATGGTCTCAACTTCAGGCCTGACTGTCTCAGGATCGTGGGTGGTCCTCGCTCCTATGTCGAGCGTCCCTCGCGTTGCGAAAAGCTCGTTGAGGAGCGCAAGGCTTGTCATGACCTTGTAGACAAGGTCAGCCGCTTTGTTACGGCTCTGGTCGACTGCATTGTGTATGCGACCGAACCAAGCCACAGTAACTGGTTGCCGATGCATGTCGCGAAACTCCTCACTGTCCCTCGCTATGAGGAACAGCATATCTCGTGCGATCACCCTCTCCCGGCCGCCTTCAAGAAGTACCTTGGCAACATTGTCAATAATGCAGCCACTACCTAAGAGCCCTCCAGCTTGTTGGGTGGCAGGAAGAGAAATGACATTTTCTTTTTGTGTTAGAGCGAGGCGTTTGGTGGGCATGCTTGGGAGTTGACACCTGTCCTCCGTGTATTGTGTCTTTGAGAAAGCAAGGCGAGCGAGCGAGGACTGCATTCTTCGGCTCTCTGTTACAGTACGATGGCGAGCATTTGGACCTCACTTGAGAAGTGAGTAGAGAGGTGGATTGCATAACCCCCAGGGTTGGCGTTGAGCGTATCCGACGAATGACGGGATGATTGAATGACTGAACGAATGGATGATTCATGAGCAGTATGACTAGATGAGACAATATGGAAAGGGTTCGCCAAACTCCCATCTTCTATGCATTGAATGTGACTTGTGATGTCAAATATGCCTCCTGCCTGTTGGGCGAAAAGAGGAATGAATGCCTTGCTGCGACGTAGCTGCCAACTGCTTGGTCGTTCTACACAGCGTGCAACAGCATGACGCGAGATGTAGAAAGAAATTCATGCTGCTGCTTTTGAGTCCATGCCGCTTCCCCCTTTAGTGACTCGCCGCAGCCTTTTCCTTTCGCTTCTCGGCGACGACATTGTCGAGGCGCATAAAGGCACACGCGCCCTCGAAGAAGGTCGTGCCGATCCACTGCCACCAGAGCAGGCTCCCGGCGTCGACGCCGTGGGGCACGAGTCTCGAGCGGTGCATCCACCACACCTCACCGAGGTGGATGCCGAGGACGGGCCAGAAGATGGCCTTGACGAGCCAGCGGTAGGAGCGCGGCCCGCCGGGAAAGACGGCCTGGAGGACCCTCCAGAAGGGGGTGCCGGGCATGACGAAGGCGAGGGTGGTGTAGCTGAGGAAGTAGACGGCGACGGCGGCGAAGACGACAATGTCGAAGCCGCGCGGGGGTTCATAGGCCGTGACGTAGACGTCGCGGATGCCGAGGGCCTTGCGGGCGTCGGCGTCCATGGCGATGACGCGGCTGCGGGCGTCGGCGAGGGATGCGAGCGGCGGAGAGAAGGGGATGACGAACTCGCGGCCGCCGAGACCGCCGGCAGCGATGGTCATGGCGTCGAGGGAGATGTCCTTGAGCCAGGGCGTGGAGGCGGCGCGCGAGGACAGGTTGGCGTAGTGGCGGAGGTAGTGGGAGAGCTCGCGCGAGTGGGCGCGGTTCATGTGTGAGGTGATGCGGTTGCGTGCGACCTCATCCGGGCTCAGATCTGGGGCAGCCATGACGTATTGGTGGCGAGATGACAATGGGACACGTGGCGGCGGGTGAAGCTGTCGGCGATGTGTGATTCATGCACAATTTGCGGCTCGGTCGAAGTTCCCATCAAAAAGCGTGTCAATGTCGTGATACGATGCGACGCAGTGCAGTGTGTGTTAGGTAATCACCCCAGGAACCTCCTTCCCCCTGTGTCGGGCCCTGCCACTTGCCTTAATGTGCTCCTGGTTCGGGTGCCTGGGCCTTTCTGTACTGCTGTGCTGTGGTGCCTTGGACCTTGACCCTAAAGCAAGACACCAAAGCAACCTCGTCACCGAGCAAACCAAACCTTGTTGGAACAACCTAACATCGACCATATGGCTTCAAGAGCCCTTCCCCTGCAGGGCCATCATCCTCTGGCCCGTCAAACACTATTCATCGCGATTCCCACTGAAAATATGCACGTAGAGCGGCACCATACGAATGAATACCTACGCCATGAGATGCATTATTTCTACGGTCTCGCCAGCGATATCTAATGTCAGGTGGTATCTCAAGAAGCGGATCATTCCTGTCGGCGCCCAGCCATACAAACGAAAACCCAAGACCCGCCGCCCTTCAGCACCAAACGCCAAACCATGTTCTTGCCAACGGCATGATGACCACTGAATGCCGTGTCGACTGTACGCCGACTTCATCACATTTGAGAAGGTCTCCGTCCCCGTGGGACATAACCTGATTCCGAATCCACCGTCGTCGTTGTGTGCACATGAATCCCCGACTCCATCGAACTGTGTCGGTCCTGGTCAGCCACATCGTCCCTCCACGAGGAAGGAGTTGCGCCAATCTCGGTCTGGACGTCCCCCTGCAGCTTGTCTCCCAGTTCGAGCTCGCTCTCGTTCACCTGCCCTTTGCCGCCCACCCTGAAGAGCTTGAAACGGGACTCGGGGACAGCTAGGCGACTTGATGGCCCCGACACCGAGTTGCTGTACGTTGCATCGCTGTATTTCCCAGAACGCAGATCTGTCGAGTCACCAGACACCTGCTTCTTGCTGTTGAATGAGAATCCGTACTTGCTCGTGATGGTGCCGAGCACATCCGGAATGACGCGGTTCACGAGCATACGAATGGCCGGCAGCGACGTCACAAGCATCGACACAGAGACCTCGAGACCCGTCCAAATCAGTGTATCCGTGTAATCCCAGGTCGGGTTCGTGGACCGCGCAAAATGCACAATGTACTGCAGGCGAATGCAGGAGGTAATCAGGATGAAGATCCCTAGGCTGAACATGACCATGATGCCCATCTTGGAGCGCCACGACATGTTGAGGCCGAAGAGCAGCGGAAGAGGCAGCACGAGGATGATGACGTCCTGGGCAATACTGAAGCCTGCTGCCGTGTATACGAGCGTATTGACGTTCAGGCAGCGGAACGAGCCGAATGTACCCTTCCACCCTAGCCAGTTGTACTCGATGGGAGAGCACTGGAAGATCTGCAGGAACACAAAGACTGTCGTCGACATGCCGATAAATATCATGACCGAATACGTAATGATCCGAAATACACGGTTCGGGAAGATGCGCAGGAAGAAGCAGAGTATCGACAACTTGGCGAGTGACAAGCAAATGACGTAGAAGCTTTCGTCGATGTAGAAGAGCTGATATCATTCATCAGTCGCGCTCTTTTCGGTCACCGGGCCATGGAAGAGAACCTACTTTGAGACACTGCGTCAAGTCGTCGGCATCAACAGTCCATATGTCAACGCCAAAGCATGATATGCCAACTAGAATGCAAGCGTCAGCTTTCTTTGTGCCTCAACAAACGCCCCGAAACTACACACTGTAATGTCCCAATATGAGAAAGGGTGTGTTCATGATCTACGCAATGTCAGTCCATCAATTCTCCGGCCAGAATTCGCGCTGACATACAACGCAGACCAGCATGATCCAATCGTCTGCCTCGAATCGGTGGACGGTGCGGTAACGCGAGTAGAGTCGCAGCCAGACGGAAAACCACGCAGGAATCTCGATGATGAGCGGTACCAAAAGATCCGGCTTGCGGGAGCGATCTGGGCGCTGACATGCCTCTGCTTCCACCCTTGCGACCTCTTTTGTTCTGTCAGTCGGTCATTCGACTTATCTCCTGACGGCCTCGATTGTCGGAAACACACCTATGCCTTCCAAGGCGTTTGTACACCTCTCCGTCACGCATTTTTCTGTTGCCTTGCGCAGATCAACGTCGGTACAGATGCACGTAGAGTTTGTGAGACTGTCACATGCCGATAAAGGCACTTGCTCCAGGATGCAGCTCAGCTAAAAGCAGACAGTATCAGTCAAAGTTGGTCAAATACTGAATCGCCACGATGAGAGAAGAGGGGTCTTGAACGTACGCCACATTGTGGTATCCTGTCAACAAAACTGAAAAGATCCGGGACTTGTGCTTGGCTGGCGACCATCGGAGCCACCGCCAGTAATGGTTGGAGATGTGAGAACCGCATCCTTCCGATCGGTGGTAGCCGCGGCTCTCGAGGAGCGTTCGCAACGGCTTGTGGTATCGAGAACCTTTAATACGTGAGTCTCAATTACAAATGGTAAAAGGCGTGTTGGTCGGTCGTCATGGCTGCTTTTAGAGACTGGTTGACGAAGTTGGGGTGAACGGCTCAAAAGGCGCACGAAGCGAGCGGTCCGTCGCCATATAAACTCAGACTACACAGTCTACCGTTGAAACATGACACAAACTGTGCAAGACCCAACAGTATGGGCGGGACAGGGCGCCCCAGGGGAGCAAAGAGTTCTCATCATCCATTCAGCCTGGACCGAGCCGTTCATTCTCCGCCAGTGCGCGGGTCTGTGAGTGCTCTGACCTGACTCTTGTCGACTCTCCACCATACACTCTATGTTCCAGCACGGTTCGGCGGGGAAAGCCTGACTGTACCAATACGGCCTTGTAGGACACCCCTGATGACGACCCCACGATGGCACGGGAGCTCTCAGCTATGGGACGGTCAAAACTAAGAGACGGTAGCGTGGCCTGCATGGTCTCCGACCGATAGCAACAGGGCAACGAAGGAAGCCATATGGCTTGGACTGACTAGTGTGTAGGCAGGGATGGATGGATGATGGGCAAAATGCTGAAGACTGCGTTTCCTGGCAGTCTTGGTCCAACATGACGGCTCCCCTGTTGACCCTGTGGCCCAAGACTAAGGTGGTGACGACCAAATTAAGTCGCCGCGGCTTAGTGCATGTCTCGTCGCACCGGCCGGAGGAGCGGGCTTGCTGGTGATGCCTGAAACCTTGCTCACGCTTTCGAAGTAGCACAGCAGGAAAGGGCTGCCTATCCGGCGGTTGGAGACATGGGAATGGCCACGATGAAGAGGGTGGTCCTTCGCAAGCCTCGCCCTTGCTGCATCGCTTTAGTGCTTCGAGAACACATGAAGTTGCAGTGATCTGCCCGTCAAGACTCTCTCAGCGTTTCTTTTGTTCTCCCTGACGTGCGCCATCCCTGAAGCCGGGTGGGCGGGATCAGAGTGCCCGTGTGCGGCCAAGCATGACCATGCAGATGCAGCACTGGCCTCTTCATTGGTCTAGTCTCGCCACACGATCGATGCCCCGTTGAGACTGGGGCGACGAAAGCCACGCAGGTTGAAGATCCGTGCGTGTCAGGAACATCCTCTTGGCAGCTTCGATCCTTGCAGACGAATATGAACAGACGGCTCATTCAATGATCTGGCGACCAGTCCGAGCGACAGCAGAGATTCCGGATTCCCAGTTACGCCCGACACCAGGCTCCCGTCCACGGCACAAAACCACTCAGCTGGGAAGGCGACAACGGGGCCCTCGGCGCAGCGCGAGTGACGGCGACCTGTTGTTTCGTCAAGCACCCCAGCGGCAATCAGCTCCTCTTCCACAACTTGCTAAGCCATGCTCTACGCTTTGGCCCCTATGAAATTTGCCCACAGGCGGGCGCACGCAGTGATTGGGCCTTCGTGAGTAGAGTTCACAGCGAGCGCGGTTGTGACACACGACACTGTTTTCCCGCCGGGCGCAACCATATGCTGGCCCGGGGCCACGGGAGCATTCGACATGGACAATATTCATGCTTTGCAGACGTTGTACGAGGGAGGACGTTGTCCTTCATCAATTCGATGCGGTACACCGGGTGGCCCGCACCTCGTGTTGGGAAGTAACTTGCCCGCCAGCCGCCAGATCAACGGGATTGTGCATTGTGAAGATCCGGCGTACCACAAGAAGGGGGAGGGAGAAGAGCGGGCAAGGCTGGTGCGGCATGGGGGTGGCGGCCAGCGAATACGGCCCCTTGTAGCGGGAGGCAGCGCAACCGGCAATTGTGGGGAACCGACCTACCGATTTAGTACGGCCCCAGAGAGATCGACGGCGCCAGCGTGGCCGAATTAGTATCCCTAGGGGAGTTCACTGCCCCTTTGTGCGAAGTGAGACCTGGCTTTGGCCGGCGTGGGTTCAGCGGCGGATATCACGGCTGTGGAAAGGAAGGCGGGAGACGGGCGTCCCGGCAGTTGATGGGTGGTGATGGTGTGCATGTGGCGGACGATGATGACTGCTATCACGACTCAGTTGTTTGCTTCCGGGTGGGATACGGTGTATCATCATTCCGGTAGCATAGCAAGACCTTCTCGCCTTCCCAGATTTGACAACAGGATGTGTCAGAGCCTTAGGCTACACGGAGGCGCAAAGGGGCGAGAATCAGTCTGATCTGGCAAACAAGCACCGCGACAGGCAAAACCGGCACGGATTGTGTGGCAGCGAACACGGTGGACAGCACAACAAGACAAGCCTCAGAGGCCAGGCAAAAGGCGCAATCACCGAGACGAAATCTTCCTGGGCTACCCACCTGGGCAACCCAGAGTTCGTCGCATGGGATTCTCCGTGGCGGTGGCTCTTACGCTCTTCAGACACGACGTGTCTGGCACGGACGATACCAGCGTACTTAGCGTCAGGTGCTAAGACTGTGTGGAGGAGCTTGTAGCCACAAGCCCGAGTCAACGGTGTGGTCAGTCGGAAGGCGACATGAGTAGGAATGGAAAAAGCAGTGCATCGTAAGGGAGCTCCAAGGTTGCGATGCAGATGCACCGACTGAAGCGGATGTTTGCAAAAAGAAATATGAAAAAATGGGCGGCAAGCAGGTCACGGATAGTGCTGTTCATGGTGTGTTTTTCAAGATTGGCGACTAGAGACCGCGGGCGAGCCCTTGCAGATAGACACTGAGGATGTCGCTCCCTCGCAAAAACAAGTCCCCGTCTCCACGAAGGATCCGGTTCAAAAGAGGGCGAGGGGGGGGGGGAAGCAAGAGAAGGGTAAATTAGCCTCTGAGGAACAGGCTCGCTGGATACAGACCATTCGAGGGCGAATGGTCTCGTCCCCTGCGCCACCTCCTCGTGGGCCGGCCTGGCGTGTCACGCCTCATTCTGCCTATTCGCTAGCTCGGCTGAGTCCTTGGCCTGGGAGTTCATGGTCCGGCATCGCGCGCAAGGCTAGCCAAAGACTGCGATCATCTGTTTACTTCTCTAAGGACCAGCGGACCGAAATGGGTTTCTAGGGCTATTTCTCGGCAGCACTTCGTTAGGACCCTTTGCGTGTTTACTTTGCTTTGGTGAAATAGGGGTCTGTGGTTCACAAGGTTTTTGAGCGGGGGGGGGGGAGGCTGGAGGGGTGATGAGATGGTCTTGACTCGGGAGAGTTCAGGCGCGTTTCTGCCGTCGCCAAAAGGGACAGCCGGGTCTGGGGCACCGAACAGGCATGCTGCACGAGTGACGTAGAGGGCGCGTTCGCTGGCAGATGCGGCCTTGCAGCTTGCCGGGCAGCGTGCTGGGAGCTGTTGATGATTTTGCCGCTTCGGTTTGTGTTGCATGGCGGATGATGGATGGTGTATTCCGGGGTGTGCTGTGACGAGCAGGAACGCATTTCAACATGATGCAAGACACGACTCGAGGGGAAAGAGGTAGAGTGAAAAGCCCACCGAAGCAATTCGCAACCGGCTTTCTTGTATTATGCTCTTCAGCCGCCCGTGCTACCTCTGCTCATCACCTTCCTCCACCCCAGGCTCCGGCACAGCCTGCGGCCGGTAGACGGGCTCCGTGACGGCATCGTGCAGCATGCCGCTGCCGTCGTAGGGAGTGTCGTCTGCCGCGCTCAGCCACCACATGCTCCTCACGTGGTCGAGCACGCCCTGGTCGCCGGCGCCGGCGAGGCGGAGGTTCGGCGGCGGTATGTCGCGGGCGCGGGCGGCGTCGGCGGCGAAGGCGCCCGGGTACGAGGCCGAGTTGTTGACGGCGGCGCGGTTGGGCGGGTCGCGGTTGGGCACGAGGACGCGGGAGGCGAGGTCCTGGAGGAACTGGAAGACGTTGGCGCCGGCGTCGTAGCGGCCGAGGTGCGGCGTGGCCCAGTTGAACTGCAGCGAGGCGAGCTGGGCGTAGTGCGTGTACAAGGTGTCGTCGGTGGTGCCGCGGACGGCGCGCGGCAGGGCGGTGCCGAGGAGGAGGCCCGTCACGCGGTTCGGGCGCCGGGCGTCGGCGGCCTCGTCGTAGGTCAGCAGGATCAGGCTGCGGCCCGGGAGGACGCCCGGGGCGAGGAGCGACGCGATGAGGGACGAGGCCCAGGACGTGGCGTGGGCGAGGGACGTGGTGCGGCCCGCGTTTGCGAGGTTGGGGACGACAAAGGCGTACTGGGGGACGGCCGCGGCGGCGACGTCCGCGTGCAGGTCGGCGAGGGACTGGAGGTTCAGCAGGCGGGTGCCGTTGAGGTTGATGCTGTCAAATGTGGCAAAGGGGCTGCCTCGTGGTTAGCCGGGAGAGCATGCTAGGGGCATCGTGGAAGACAGGGCTGAGAATTGGTACAGAGCAGAGCAGAGCAGAGCAGAGCAGAGCAGAGCAGAGCAGAGCAGAGCAGAGCGACGGGGCGCGCGTCAATTACCCCTTGGAGCCGGCAAAGCGGAAGCTGTTGGGCAGTTCCCTCTTCAGGGCGTCCCAGAACTGTTCCCTCTCCTCCTCGGGCAGCTGGAGCAGGCCATCGTAGTAGGCCTGCAGCTTCTCGTGCTTCTTCTCGACCTGGGCGTAGGACTTCCAGCTCTCGGACCGGGGACCGCTGTGGCGACCCTGCTTGTTCTGGCGACGTCGGTCAGCATGAGGGAGGAGGAAGGGAGGAGGAAGGGAGGGGGGGCTCGTTCACGGCGATAGAACATACAGCGTTTCTCCTCTTGCCGCGACCCATTGCGACTGATGATGGAAGGAACCGGGCGCAAAGCGGGCGAGATTGCCAATTGAACGGATGATGATTCTCACTGTCGTGGGCGTGGGCGAGGGCGAGAATGGGGCGGCGGCGGGCCTGGGAATGAGCATGCAAAGGAAAGCTTGTGTCGCACGCGCAGCAGAGCTCTCTTCTGGGATGAGGTTGGGAAGTCGGCAGCCGCCAGAAAAAAAAGTCCGTCTCCAAAGTTTCGGCCGTGACGGTTTTCCCCCGCCATTGAATTGGCCCGCCATTGAATTGGCCCGCCATTGAATTGGGTGGGGGCCATGCATCTCTGGAGGGACAAGCGGTGGTACTTACGTGACGAGCCCCTCAATGTGTCGACACAGGGCCTAGACTGGGAGGAGATATGTACCTTTTCAAGCAGCAAGCAGCAAAACTACCCCACGAGGAGTGACCGTTTTCATAAGGGTACCGTCTCGACATACGGAACCCCGCCAAAACGGACACATCACGGTTGAGCCACGGATTGGTTCTTGGTTCTTGGTTCTTGATTCTTGCTATCATTTACACGGTTTCATTCTGGCTAAGGAATCCTATTCTGCAAGAAACATCCTGCAAGATTCGAAATTACATATATATATATATATATTTAATAATAATAATAATAATAATAAAAAAAAAAAAAAAAGGGAAGAAAGGAAAGAAAACAAACGATACTTGAAGTAGAGACAAGCATACTGACCTTACCGTCCACACCTTTCCGCTTACCCTGCCTTCACCCTTGACTTCCTACCAGAAAACCTCAGCTCTCCGTCTGTTGCTGCTGCTACTACTGCTCCTGCCGATACCCCCGGTAGAACTGCTCATCCTCTTCAGTCTGCTCCACAGCCTCGTACGGCCCCTGTGCCGCCGACACCGACCGCGGCTGCTGCGGCACGGCGTACTGCTGACCCAGGCCGACGATCAAGTCGGGCGACCCCAAAAAGTGCTCGCGGGGGTCATAATGTGTAGTAGTCTGAACCAGCTCCATCGGCGGCGTCACCGCGACATCTCTGCCCAGCCGCTTCCACCAGGGGAACCCCGGCATCCCAAACACGGACAGAGAGTGCGGCAGATGGTTCAGCACGAGGACGACAACGTACGGCATGAGCATCGTCATCAAGACGAACGGTTTCTTGTTGTAGTTGTTGAAGTACTCCGTGTCTTGCGACACACACGCCACGAGGGCGATGCCCGCCGCGATGACAAAGTTGAGTGCCACCCTCACCTTGGCCCAACGGGTCCATCGCCCCATGTACGCGATGCAGTAGAGGACGTTGGACAGCGCGAGAAAGGCGCCGGCGCACACAAAGGTGTACTGGAAGAGAGTGCGGAACCGCTTGGATGCGCGTTTCCCCACCTCCATGTTCAGCTCTGCCGTGTCGCCAATGTACCGCGCCTTGATTCCCGCGTGTTCTCTGGTCGCTTCTTTCGTAAAGTCAATGTCGAATGCCTGGAGAAGAAGATTGTCCAGCGTTTTTAATACTTCCGTGGCGGCCTGGTCCCATGCCACAAGGTTTGGATCCGTGTCAATCTCTTCCTGGCTTGCGGTCTGCAGATGCTCCTGGAGCTGTACGAGGTCAATGTCGCGCATGACATCGAAAGATGAATTGATGGCGATCTGTGACCAGCAGTGCGTGACTGGGTACTGTTTCGTAAAGTTGCTGGTGAAATTCCACAGGCTGTCTGTTAACTCGACAAACGCCGAGGTCTTGACCATGTGGTTGAAGCCCGTCAGCAGGCTCAATTCACTCTCTGCAATCTTCCAAACCACGATGAATTGGGCGGCGCCCTCCATGAAAAGAGTCATGCACAAGTGAAGCGGGAAATGCAGCAGCGTCCAAGTCAGCTGCCGCCATCGCGGGAGATGGAATCGACACATCCAGTCAAAGTAGACCATGAAGACGAGGTAAATAGTGCTGACAGCCGCAGTCACGACGCCAATCGTCTTGGGGGCTGCACCACTCGTCAGCTGGGCTCTAATGGAATACGGAGTCATCCGTGGTAGACGAGACGCACTCCAGGCATTGTGCCCACTCTCGACAACAGAGGTGACCGAGTCGCATGCAATAGCAACACCCTCGCCAAAAATGATCAGGGTGAGAAGACTGATGCGACGAATGAGGTGTGTGTCCTGGAAGCTCAGGATCGAGTAGAAGATCGAGAGCACGGCATTTGAGGCCACTTCGAAAAATGCAATACCGTACCACATGTAAAAGATGCTACTATGCGCTCTGTCGAAAAGGAACGCAAGTCCAAAGTAAATGAATGCGGCCACTGAGTTGGAGACCACCAGAACAAGCAGCGGAACTCTTGCTCTGGTGTAGTGACGGACATGGAGAAGGACCATGCCGTACTCGAGTGCCAGACACAGCCTGGACACCATCAGGATGAACGCTGTGGCCTGTCAGACACGCAGGAGGAGAGGTTGTCATTGTTCAAACATACAAAACGTCTTGAACACCTGCGGATCCTGCTCGCTGGGGTCAAAGTTGGGCGAAACAACAGCGAAACCAACCAGGACGCCCAGATGAACTGCCCTGGCGCATCGTTCAAAGACGCTATCTGTGATGAAGCGAACGTCGAAGCAACCGGTCTGGAACCAGGTCGTCCACATCAGGCTGTACGGGTGAACCATGTAAGCAACGTGAGGGTTTATCCGTGACGCGGTCAACGTACGAGAAGAAGCCGGCGTATGCGACTAGGCCTCGTAAGCTCGTGACTTGTTGATTCTTGTTGAACAAGTTCAAGCACTTCAACGTTTGCATCAGTAGCCGTTTAGGATCGTCTACACTGGAAAGACGGGGCTCACAGCCTACGTCGTGTGCCGTCAGTAACAGAAGTCCATTTCAAGAGGTGGCCACTTACAGCCAGAAACAGGTCGTAAAACACTTCCAAGTTTGTCGCTTCATTGTTTCTCGAAAAAACAGGCTCCTCTTTCGCCTGATACCGGTAACCCCAAGGCTTAACAACTGCTGGGATGAGGGTTTGCAGCCCGACTGACAAGGTGTCCGAGCTGGCGTCGTCCTCCTTGAGAGGGCTTCTCAGTAAGTGAAGCTTCACGTTGAGTGGCTTGTATTGCAGTCCGTCCTTGTCAGCCATGTTATCGCGCTTCCTCTTGCGATGCCGCTGCTGTCGGAACAAGCTTTGGGTCAGGATAATTCAAGCGTCGTAGAACACCAGCAAGCAAGCATCCGAGGCACATGGAGGGGTTATAGAACCCATGACGGGCCAGTCCAAATTTCAGCCCCCGAAGACCAAGAGGATGACCAAGATCGGCAGCCTCAGCTCGAGCCTTGTGCGACTTTGATCGTGATTATTCTCGGATGACATACCTACCTACCTACTCACTACAACACCACCCACACCCACTTTTCCAGGTCTTTGCTCTACCCTGCGAGCTCTCAGCAGCATCCGGCAACGAGCTCGGTAGTCTCATTCAGGCCCGGACCCTCGATGGATATTTAGGATGCGATCAAAGTGCATGAAGAAAATAGACATGGCGTGCCCGCTCGGCCACCGACCCGAACCCTGCTTCTCGCGGCCTACCCGCAACGGAGACAACTGCAGAATCGCGAACGCAATCACACCAACTCGACAGTGATCCACCCACCAAGTGCTGTGAAGACCGATAATCCTCGCTCCCTCGTCTGGATTCTAGGCCGGAATGGGCTGACGGCTGACTCGAACTGGCCTCCCTCTTCTCCCATGGTGGTGTGTGAGCAGTATGCCGTAGTGGATTACCGAGCTGATAAGGCGACGTGATTCCTGGGCATTGGAAGCCGAGTTAGTTACAGCAGACCAGCTCTGTGATGTGCTTGGTTTGTGCTACCACATCATTCTGAAAAACGAACGCTATTGACTGATGCTGGGCCCTGCATGGTACCATTGCCGTCCTCGGGGTTGGAGAAAGTGCGCGGAATTGCGGCTCAGCTTCACTTCGTAGCTCAGCGCCAAAGTGGTTCCCCGATACTATGGCTGGGTCGTTCAATGCAAGCAGGGCCCAGAGCCTTGCCTTGGGGTACACACATCCAACAGTCTGGCTTGGGGCAATTACGTAGTATTGCGATACGCTACCATGAAGACGTCAAGCTCGACTTACAGCACCAAAAGTCCGTCTTTGTGGTACGGTCATGTCGCGTGTCATTGCTCTGCCACGAAGGGCCAGAGATCTGAAGGAGGTGTTTGCTGAGATACGCCAAGCAACATCTTCTAACACACACAATGTGCAGCCTATCGATTCACAACCTTGCCATGTGCATGATTGACAAAGTCACCCTCGTCGAGACGATTTTGTCTCATGATCGTCAATTCAGCTGAAGCATGTGAGCGCTTATCCTGCACCTGCACCTGCACCTGCACCTGCACACATGCCTGAAAGTGAAGCCTGCTCGAAAACGCCACCAGCCTTGCCCACGCAGCTTAGCAACCGTTGTTCTGTGCAGCCTGCTGCGATATCAGCACTAAATGGATCGTGCAATTCGGTAACTCTTTTATACCAGTTTCCGCCACTACTGGTCTTCGAAACATCCCCATCGCCTCCCGCCCTAACCGCGACCTTCATTTCCTCACACCATCAGCCATGAGCGCCGCAGAGCAAGGTATTGCCGTGGACCATGTGCCACCTCGCGGACGCAGAGGTCTTGCTGCTCTGCGAGACATGGTGGTCGCCCGCCTGCAGGCGCTAGCCACTAGCGAAGACGTAGAGCCTCACGGGTTTTCTTCTGATGCCTTTGTGGCCAAAGGAGTTCCACGCCTGATTCCGCACCCTTACATTTGGTTTCCATTTTCATATTGGCGTTCTATGACGTTGCTCATCACACTATGTACCACCTATGCGAACCTGTCATTCATGGGTGTGTATTTTTACTATTTACTTGTCATTGACTTCGTGTTGTTCAGCACAAGCTCAATCCTGCAAATTTACGTCGCACGAATAGCACCGACATCGATCATTCTGCATTGGGCACGCAACACCATATTTGAAGTGAGTAGTACTGATTACATACAGCTGTATTCAAATACTCTAGAGCAGCGCTCACATCAAGCTGATACCTAGTCGGCATTCCTCCTACGGCTGGTGGCAAGGCTTGAAGATAGGGTGCCGCAACTGTCACCCTGGCGGATATACTGGACAGCGTACTTCACCTTGGCGATTCCCAACACGAATTTTGCGCTGAACTACTTGGAAGCTTGGAGGCTCCAACATTCCGAGTATCACATCTCTGTCTTCTTCGACCGTTCAGACAACGTCCTTCTGCCCTGTCCGGCGTTTGACGCACCGGAAGTGGACGACGCATGGGTCCTCAAGCATTTGTCGGTCTTTTATCGCATGTCGAGGATACACGGTGGGCTGTTACAGGCTTTGCTCCCCAAGTCACTCGAGAGGATCGAAGTCGTACAGGTACGTCCTGCACACCAATCACCCTCTGAATGGTTATCTTGGGCACAGTCAGATCTTGCCTGCATAGTCGGAGCCGCAGGACATGAAGTAAAATCTGGGCGGGCATGCACCCGAAGCGCGATGTCGGTTAACACTTCAAAGTCATCGTTCATGATAGCTGACTGATGTGTGATCGGCACTTTCAGGTGAAGGATGGAGTCAGCATAGGAGCCCATGTAACGACGCTCGACGTGTCCCCCAATATCTGCCGGGCGATCGAAGACGGCATGGTAGCCGAAATACCTGCTGGACACAGACGACGCGTGGAACAGTTGCTTCGACACCATGTGTTTCGTCCGACAATCTCGGATACTCCTCGGCAGGCTCTGAGGTTCGTCGTCGCGTGGGACGCGCATCCGGTTTCCTACGTTGTCGGTGTTCCTGCAGTGATAAGTATCGCTATTGCTGCGTTTTGGCCCATGGTTGCGGTACTCAAGTTTGGTGCGGATGTTCAGTCGAGCGTACAGACTGGCGCGGCGGTCGCAAGCTTCATCATCACGACAGGGGCACTCGTGATGGGTCTGGCAACTTTGTTCGACGCCGTTGCTAAGCAGTGATCGCTGGGGATGGAGACAGCTGGGTTTACTTGGATAACGGATCTCCAGACTGGAGATATTTCATCTTGAAGGTCAACGACGTCCTCTAGTCAAGGCAACTGCGCGTCCGACTGAGTGCGTGCGGTTGATGGCACATGATGTTTGCCCTGCGCTATGCTAGGCTGTCCTGCGGCAACCATCGTCGCGGGGTTCTGGAAATTGTGTAAACTGAAGCCAACATGGAAATCCTGAATCGTAAAGACAAAGCAGAAATGGCACCTGAAGCTCAAGCGGTCGTCGAAGTGAAGATGCACTAGACAATGTGCTTAGGTAATCTCAACCTCGACGCGTGTAACGCGTCTCTCCAGGACATTCGGCGCTACGAATCCCCCACAGCATAGCGGCAAGGGGTCCCAGCTCCCTGTCAGAAATGTCATGTTGTGACCAAATGCCCATCTGCGCTCCACCAGTATTGCTGCTCCAGACCGTCTGTAACGACATCGCGGGCCGTCGCCGACATTGACCATGAGCGAAGATGCGCCTTCGAAGCCCGTCAAGCGAGCCCGTTCGGGAACCAACGACGATGCTGCGCCTGCCACAGCTTCCAAGCGACGAAAGCTGAGCACATCGACGACCTCCAAGCGCACATCCCTCCACGACACCAATGGCCATCGCCCGAGCAAGACGGCTGAGGCTGACATCTACGACGTACCCGACTCTGACGGCGAGGCGCCGCCGCCGCCAGCACGAACTCGACTCCCCTCCGGGCCCAACCGTAGCGCAAAGAAGACATCAACGCCTCGCAAAGACCCCTACGAAGTGTCCGAGTCAGACAAGGGCGAGCGCAGCCCAGACGAAGACGGCAACAATGAGGATGCATTTCCTCCGACGCCCACGCGGCCCAGGACCACACCAGGCAAGACGCCCAGGTCAAACGGCACAGCTCGCAACGGCACCGCACCCGCGAAGACCAGCGCCTCGAAACCGCGAGCACTCAAGGAAGTCTCCGCAACTATTGAAAAGCCCGTCGAAGCGACGCCGGCAACGGGAGAGAAGATAGAGGAAACGATCCACGTTCGATCGAGCGGACGGCGCAGAGTCCCGACGGCCAAAGTGCAGGACAACACGGCCAGCGCCCGCAAGCTCGGGGACCCCGCCGCGAACCGGTCGCGATCCAACTCGGTGCTGAACACGACGCCCAGCGCGCAGAGGCATCACGAGCCCCTGAGGCGGGATGCGGCGGTGCCGCTGAAGGGAATCCTGACACCCTCGAAGCGTGCGGGGGATACCGGCAAACGCCGAAAGAGCGTTGCGTTTGGCGCTGCGCAAAGTCAGAAGGGCGAGCCGGTGTTCTTTGAGGATTTGCCAAATAAGTCGTCGGAGAAGAGGCCTCGCGGAAGACCGCCCAAATACCCAAAGGCTACCCCGAAGCCGGTCAAGTCGACACCTAGGCAAGTCGAACCTGTCTTGGAATCCGGGGACGAGGTTGAGGATGAGGTTCAAGATGAGCCGGTACAGAAGAAAGAGGAACCAGTGCCCGAGGTGGCAGAGGAGGAAGAGGAAGAAGAGAAGGAGCAGGAAGATACAGCCTGCTCGATATGCGACAAGCGCAACTCCAGACCTCCCAACGAGATTATTTTCTGCGACGGCTGCGACAAGGCTGTCCATCAGAAATGCTACGGCGTCCACGACATTCCGGAGGGCGACTGGTTCTGCAAAGAGTGCGTCGACAAGAAGCAGGCCAAGGCCGCGGCAGGCGCACAGCTGCCCAACTATGAGCACCATCTTCGCTCGCTGCAGAGGGTGCTGCTGGACCGATGCGTAGGCCGGCGGCGTATTAAATTGATCAACCAGGACGAGGCGTATACGAAGGCCTATCAGCTCGTTGAGCAGACTGTCTCGGCTGGTGAGGGCAACTCAATGCTTGTGATTGGTGCGAGGGGCTGCGGAAAGACGACGGTAAGTTTGATCTTTTAGTTTCATGCTTTCGATTCCGCCTGCTAACGAAGTGAAGCTTGTGGAGAACATTGTCGCCGAACTATCCCTCAGTCACAAGAGCGAGTTTCATGTCATCCGGCTCAATGGTTTCATCCACACAGATGATAAACTAGCTTTGAAGGAGATATGGCGTCAGTTGGGTAAAGAGATGGAGGTTGACGATGACGTTAATGCGAAGGTAAATACATGAAGCTTGCACCAAGAGAAATCATTATGATCACTGACCGAAACAGTCAAACTACGCGGACACAATGGCGTCTCTGCTAGCTCTTCTTTCCCATCCGTCGGAGATCTCGCAGACAGAGGAGGGGGTCACATCCAAGGCCGTCATCTTCATCATTGACGAGTTTGACATGTTTGCGTCTCACGCGCGTCAAACGCTACTGTACAACCTATTTGACATAGCGCAGGCGCGCAAGGCGCCCATCGCAGTGCTCGGCTGCACGACGCGGATGGACGTTGTGGAGATGCTGGAGAAGCGAGTGAAGAGCCGATTCAGCCACCGTCACGTATATCTGTCACTGCCAGCGAATCAGACGTCCTACTGGCAGGTCTGCAGGCAGGGACTGACGGTCGACGACGAGGACATGAAGGCAGAAGGCATTGACGAGGGTGTGCAGGGACATGTTGAGTTCTACCGTAACTGGAACAACATGATCAAGGTACGTGCCCGCCGTAGGTTTTGATTTTGGGACCCAGCCCCTGACAAAAGCAGGACCTGTACGAGGAGAAA